CCGTTGTGCTATAATAAAGTTTTCTTTAAAAATTGTGGTTTTAATTTTTATTGTGGCCTTATTCTTTTTGTTTTGGTCACTGATTTTCATAGAATGATGCCATCCTGTTTAGAAAATTATACCCGTTCTTTAAGTAGCTGTTTGACGTGGCAACTGCTAGTCCTTAAGGCTGTCAAACTCATGAATTTCCAAAAGAGCAGGGGCAGTTAAGAGCATGTCAGACTTGTCAATATTTCGCAATTTTCACGCAATTCGCTTTCAGTTGAGAAAATAAAATTTTATTTCCATGAGAATAACCAGATAGACCTTTCTGTCACTTTTCGGAAATTAAAGTTGCAAGGTGTGACTGCAACTAAAAGCGCGCAAATCGATTTCGGAAATATCTTTCAACTTGCTTTAGCAGCACTAGCAATCTGCCATTCGCCTTTCGTAAATAAAAAAGTACTGCACCGTGTAAACAGACGAAGAGTAGTTCCCACGTTCCCACGACAGTCGGGTGTACGTAACCGGAACGACCCAGATTTATATTTGGCCAAGGACTGTCACTCCAGCAACACTCCCCAAAAACTCTTTGAGGAACTTGCATGCTGCTGCAACAACAACAATAAAAAGTAGTAATGAAAATTGCTGGTGCAGCACGAGCAAGTTGAAATTATTTCTCGAAAGCGATTTGGGTAATTTCAGTTGTAGATACACCTTGCAATTTTTATTTCCAAAAATGATTTCTGCAAATCTGCAAACAGGATTTTCTGGCTGTTTACACGAGTAAGTAGCCTTTCGCATTTTTACAGCTACTTGGGGAGAAAAAGCGCTTGCATTGCCACATTTAACTGCACTTCACATAAATAAATAAAACACTTTCGAAAGCGTTTTAATTTGTGAAAATCGAAGTTCCGGATACTACTTTTTGTCTATTTACACGTTGAATGTAGAAAATTCCACTTTCAAGACATTTGTAGGCATATAACAAAGAGAGCGTATGTATATAGTTTTGCCTCTGGTAAGTTACTGGATAACTTCACTGGAAATTATATGAACAGGCCTAATGACATTTTTTATCCATTTACAGCACTGTCAAATTGTTGTTGCAAAATTTAAAGACCACAACAAAAAACGTAATAAGGAAATTTTCCATTTATCGTAGAATGACTGATCAGGAGCG